AGAGATGAAAGGAGTCTTTGAAATGAAATAAGCCCCCCAAAAGCTCTGTGTATGTGCGATTTATCCTTCACACACACACACACACACAAACGGTAGGGCGTTCCAAACAATTAGTTTTAATAATACGGGGGGAGTGGGGTTCAATTCACACAGATTATCTTTTTATCTACAGTCCACGGCGAGCCTTCAGCTTCTTCTCAGACATAAAGGGAATACAGACGGACTGGAATGCAATCAAGTAAGTGAGAGTGGAATAAGAAATCAAGTTTAAGACTTGATGTAGCCTAGCCTAGAGCCTTCAACCATCAGTTTTGCACAAGCACTTAGTATCACCAAAAAATTAAGACCCGTAATATAACATATTCTACTGAAGTATGTGAATGCAAATGCGACTAACTCGGTTTTTATGTGCCATTAACTGCTTCCATCTGCATTTTAAGGATATGCCAATAATATACTGTATATTTTAGATTAGACTTGTAAAACTATGATGGATCCATATTCACAATTTTAAATAGAAGCAGGTTATTGTTTTTCACCAAAAAGAAGAAAATCTTTCAAAAGAAGAAAGTCATTCAGAAACCTGCCTGATTCGTGTCCGCTGGGAAGTTTTATTCTTGTGTGCAATTTCTCTCAAATTATTGTCAATAAATACCTATATCTTACTCAAGTATACACTACTCAAATTTAGTTTGAAATGTCTCTGCCATTAAAACAAATAAATGTTGTTGTTGAGTCAAATTTTTAGTAGGCCTACTGTGTAGAATATGTTTAGGGCCTAAAATATCACATCATAATTCAAATGTTCTGAATCATGAATTCCCTGTCACTCCCACTTTCTGAGACAACATCTGTGAAATAGGTGGCCAACTCTTAGCATGGCTAAGATAAATAGCATTGCACAGACTCTTCCTAAATGAGAAACAGGTGGAAATTAATACAAATCTGGGAGTGACTGAGGCGAAATTCATGGCACATGGTCAACATTCAGCAGCAGCAGCTGTTATGGTTAGGTTTGCAGAGGAATGATTGCATATTAGCTGCTAAGCTAAAACATGGCTACATTAATTAGCTATGCAAAGGGATTCTGAGGCCACGGGTTCCCTCTGTTGTCACACGGCATTCGGATGATGAGCCTGAACTAAATCTTTTCTGTCACACGTGAAACAGGATTTCTCTCTGTTTCTCTATCTCTCTCTCTCTCTCTCTTTTCCTTGGCTGTAATGCAAAATATAGCCTAGTTAGCCCTGTACTCATTTTCACATGGGGGTGGTGTGACCCATACAAAAGTACAAGATAATCAGCATCATGTCCTATTTAATAAACATCTGATTCATTTGACAAGATTATGCTTGTCTGAGATAATCTACAGCAAACCAGAGAGGAAGGGGAGAGCGTCCCCTGCAGGTAAATCACAGTAACACAGGTCAGGAAACACGTTATGCTACAGTATATCTAAATTGGCCATTTTCAGTACTTGGCTGTGTGTGTGTATATAAGCACTTTTACAGAGTCTAAGGGCAGAGTAAACCGCATCACTTTACTGCTCTATCCAAATCTATATGAGTCTCTCTCTCTCAGACACAGTAATGATTGCTGAACACCACAACACACAGATAGCAAATAACTTTGTCACACATTATATTAGGTGTCTTTCAATACTATAAAAAAACAAGTACAATGTAGCTTATTGTGTTCATGTTGTATTGCAAAACACTTTTGTTGCTGACATACAGTAGAAGACCATTTCACAAGATGTAAACAACACTGGTCCAGAAGCATTTCCTGTTTCAGTTTGTAACTGTTTTCTTTAATTCACATGTAAAGAAAACATCTTAAAGATGTTTGTTTAACTTTTTGATTCAGTTTTAAATGTTCTGTTGGTTGTATTTTATCCCAGCTTTTATGTAGTGTTAAAAAACTGAAACAGGAAGTTCTTCTGGTTGTTTACATCTTGTGAAATGGTCTAGACAGGTTTGGTGGTATGGGCAGGTTTAATGGTGGATTAAAAATACTACCTGCATTGCATCGAATGATTCATTTAAATGTTTGTACATAGTTAAGGACACCTAATATAAAGTGGAACATAACTCTCAATTAACTAGGGCTAGAAAACAGAGAAACTCAGACTAAATTTAAAATAGTGCATGCTTGCAACCAAAAACTATCCATAATATAGTAATACAATATATCCCCAAGGCATCGAAATTCATTCTCCAAACTCTGAAGGATAAATAATATTTATTATATTATATTATTATTTATTTTATATTATATTAATCCATTTTGAAGTTAAGAAGTTTAAGAACCCTCCAAATATGCATTCTGCCAATGATCCCCTTCAAAGATCGGTAAGCTTTTGATTGAGTGGCCATTGAACAGTTTTGTAACTCAACACTATGGATTAGAAGTTAGAACTGAAAGACATGTTAAACTTCTTGTTATTTCACATCTGAGCAAACCTCTGGTTGTAGAAGTCAGCCATTAATCTGATGAACAAATAGCCACGTGATCAACACTCGATCCCGGGCACCCATGGTGTTTATCTTCATGCAGAAAGTGAGTAGAAGAGGAGCCATTGTGGACACTTCACCTTCACACTCACTTCATGCTCTCCCTCCTTTTCTTCACACATAAATGTAAGCAGACAGGCCCATACAAAATATCAATGTGATTTGAATAATGTTATTATGATATGGATACAATCATTAGCCTATACATTGTATAATAAAGCAATTCTGTTTCAGCAGTCATTTACACTTTTAAAAATAAAGGACATGCAGGTGATGCCATAGAAGAACCATTTTTGGTTCCACAAAAAGCCTTTCAGTGAACAGTTCCTAAAAGAGACCATTTTTTCTTAGTGTGAAGAACATTTTAAGAATCTGAAGAACCTATTTCCATTATAAAGTCCAATGGAAATATTCCATGAATGTTAAAGGTTCTTCGTGGGACCATAAAGCCAACAAAGAACCTTTATTTTTAAGAGTGTAGACCATTTACACTAGGATAAGATGTATTCATCAACCCTTCCAGCATGTTCTTTCACACACACACGAACATATCACACTCACTGTTGAACTTCCTGTGATGGGCCCGCGGCCTCCAGGGCCGGTTGCGAATCCAGTGCAGTTTTCGTGACAGTTCCATGGCTGTGCGCCAGACTGTGCCCACAGGACGTCATTGAACAGCGTCAGTCCAAACTTCTCCTTTTGTCCCCCAACCATGAGCTCATATCCAAAGCAAACATGGGACCCTTTAAGGGTCTCCGTCCAGTTCCCAAAGTAAACTATTTCCTTTCTGTCTGGTTGCGTATCTGTCGTCTCAACAAGTCTGTTTGCGTTGACCAAGATCTATATTTTATGCATGAGTCAGGGGAACCCAACTCCCTCTCCGTTCTGACACACAGACGCCAATCAGCTTGTCTTCATCCAGGGAGCACCACCTAGTATCCATGCGCCTGACATCTGGGCACACATGCACACATTTGCACACACAGAGCTGAAACATGACTCTTCATCTCCTGGACAAAAGAAGGGATTGGATACCAGTCAGTGAACATGCACTATCTTTGACTGAAAGGTGTATTTCACATTTCAGCAGTGTTGTTATTGTTAATGTTAACTAAAAACTAAAACTATTTATTAACTAAAAATAAATAAATCTTCAGCAAAAAATCAATGAAAAATTATAAATACTGCCATGGGCAAATAAATGAAAAAAAAATGTTTAAATAAGTTCTTAAATGATTAAATTGAAATAAAAATATATTATATATAAAACAATAAATAATAACAACAATTAGCTACAACATGTTACTACAATATTACCGAAACTTAATTAAACTAAAATTAAAACTGAAAATATAATATAACAAAGGCAAAATCTAGGCTACTAACATAAGGAATAAAGTGGTTGTAGTCCTATGACGCCCTCTGGCGGTTGTCTTCAATACATCACCACCATAGGCTGATGTAGGTGGTTGTCACCTACTGTATGATTTGTGGTTTGCTGTGCAGTTTCTAATGTGTTTTGGAGGATTATAAGTGTTGCTTGGGTGTTTTTTTTTTTATCTCCAGGTGGTTAATTTTATGATATTCTATCTAGACAGTCCATAAATATGGCTCAGTCTCTTTTACAATGTAAACCACAATGTAGTCTAACCGCGTAGAAAAGTAAGTTTGAGGTGTCACCCATGTAACATGGGCCATATTTATCACGAATTTACTGGATAAGTTATAAGCCAAAAACATGTAACCCTAAGTATGAGCAGTAAAATAAAAATTAATAAATAAATAAAAAATAAAATAAAAAATATATAAAGATAAAAAAAAAAACAAGGAGACCGACCAAAGTTTCTTTTTGTGTTGTTTAATGTAATTTAGTGTCTACAATTCTATATCTGAGCAATAAATAAAAGAAACCAATGAACAGTACTACAAAGTCTCACATGAACATACAAACAAAATGGAATGTAATGAAAGAACATTCAGAACAGCATAGGTTATATATCTATATCAACACCCAAAAGGCTATATATATTTGATTATTCTTCACAAAATATTGATCATCTGTGATTGTTCCTATAAATCACAATTGTTTAAGGCACATATTACCAACATACAGTACAACCAACATTTAAATATGTTGTTTTGGTGACTAACAAACAACCCTTTAAAAAACAATGCGAGCTCGTGGGCCAAAATTTAATGATGAATAACATCAGGGCAGGACATATTCTGGACAGATTAAAATATGACTTTGGTCAATGTATCGGACAGAAGGATGAACGGTTACAATATAAAAGAGCAATGGCAAGATGTAGTTATTTAGCAGCTTTAAGACATTAAATATCTACTAAAAAGAGCATCTTAAGGCTTCATAACTGCTGGTTAACCTGTAAATATTTCTTTGGTTTATTATTCCAAAAAGGTCCATCTAATGAGGAATTGATGGACTCGTTTAGAAATCCTTGAAGACCGGCAGTTTTTAAAGTGGTGTCTGTGCGTGTCAATAAACGTACAAAATAGAACTATTTAGAAACATCGGAATTTGAGATTGGCCAAAACTGGCTATACACTATAAACACTATACTCAAATGCTGCTGTTTTATATGGCCTTGTACGGTAAACCCATTTCTGCACACGATGACAGTTCTCCCATAAAACAGTGTGTTCCACAATATTTATGCAAATACAGACTGTACCTTCACATTATTTTTGGGACCAAATAAAATAATCCATCATAAAAACATCCAAAAACAAAAGCCAATCATGGAAAGAGACAAAAATAGAGGCATATTCTACATCTACATTTATCTGGTCTGGAGTAAATGACAAAACACTTGAATGAGAAAGAAGGACACCCTTGATATGAGAAAGAAATCCTTATATAAATTAGGCAAATTAGTTACACTAATCTAACATCTTTAGAAGTCATTTTCCCAACGGAGCTACAAGTATAAAAAGGATATGGCTTTTAAGTGTTGAGTACCAATAAAACAAACCTTCATCTCAGTAAATAAAATTCATTATCAAGCAAACGCATCTTGAATGTCTCTACTGGGTTCAGTCAACAGGCCTAACAAAAGTCGATCAGGGAGCTTCATATCCACAAAACTGATGTGATGAACAGAGGAAGCTCATAAATGGAGAAACAAAAATCTAAACGTTTAAGAATAAAAAAGGGTGGGAATCTGAAGTGCTGTTTTCAAGAAAACACCAACTTACGGTCACAATGACAACAGTCCATTGCATTGTGTCCACTGGACTGAACTTAACTTGTACTGTGCGTGGCGTTTAAACAGTCACAGTGTGTGTATTAGTCTATGTTCAGTCCAGTTCGGTTGTTTACCCAGATACATTTTTCAATTTAATCTCCTTAACATCCATTGCTCCATTCCATGCACGCTCAGACTGGGGGGTGCAGACATGCGGTTCTGGCTTGAATTTTGGTTTATTCTCAAAGACGTCTGGGTAATACAGCTTTATTGGTTTAGTTTCCTTTACAGCTGGTGTTTATTCTTTTTTGTGATCCTCAGGCGGATTGTCCAGGTCCAAACTGGGATCTGCCACGCAGCAGTAACACAGCTTCTGTGTTTGCAATGAAAGTGCATCTGAAAAAAGAAAAAAAGTTCACAGATCATCATGTAAAAAATCATCCAGAATATTAAATAAATCTCTGTACAAATCTAATGGTGCGCGAAATAGTCAGAGAAGCCTATGTTTGCTTAAAGGAGAACTCTGGTCAATTTTAACATTGAGCTCATTTTTTTTTTTTTTTTTTTGTAAATTTGGAGTGCTGTCAGTATAGACAAAAACGACAAAAATCGGTGTTGGCTACACCGTGTTATCGTCTTTTTAAAATTCGCACCCTGTTGACTTCAATGGGGCATGTTCTAAACCTGCTTTTAGCCTCTAAACATCCTTGATTTGTCATTACGAGTGCACAGCCATGTGAGTGGTGTTATTAAGAGTGACCATGGTCAATCTGACTGCAGTAGATGTGAAAGATATGAATAAAAGCCAGGTCACATACCTCTAATTGCTTCCTGTTTTCGGTTGAAGCCCACAAAGTTCGCAAAGAAACTTATTGAAGCTACACATCCAACCCATAAGTAAAAGATTCCATAATGTTTTGTCTGTAAATGACGGTTTTATATGGATAGCGTTTTCAAAATACGCAATTGTGAGTGGGCGTTGATACCGTTTCCTATGCAATGACATTAACCAATAATAACAGTGGCCGTTTACTAAAATGGCACCACAATTAGATAATTTCAAACAAATAGTAACTATTTTGTCTAAAGGAAATGTGAGCAATCCTTGCCGGTGGAAATTGTAATACCATAAGAGTTACATGACTGCCACAGTTACATAATTGCTAAGTTGTTGGAGATTGTTGTTTACAGGCTCAAGCCAAAGAACCCACATTAAGCACATTAACTGAGGTTTATTACTCAATACAACAGGCTCATGAATGCTCTAATGTTAAGTGTGACCAAAAATAAATCGAAAATGACTGCCGTGCCACTTTTTCTCTGTAATGCACATGGAAGCCTAAGAACAGCAGGTGGGTGAAAACACTACAGTTATTGTTTATAGTAAAAGGATTTGCAGTACCATTTTATGGTCAAAACACAAAGCACGTATGTGCATCTTATGTTCAAATTCATTATACAACACCACATGTATGTATTTATGCAACAAAACCCCCTAGAAGGCTAACTGAACCTGGTTGTAACATGTACATGTCTGTTAAAAAATATAAACACTTCTTATGTGGTGATGGTGCAGTGGATAAGACACATGCTTTTGGTGTGAGAGACCCGGGTTCGAATCCACTGAGCAAGACACTTAACCCCTAGTTGCTCCAGAGGCGTGCAACCTCTGACATTTATAGCAATTGTAAGTCGCTTTGGATAAAAGAGTCAGCTAAATGAATAAATGTAAATCTTACTGCCTGCAGCAGAAATCAGAGATGTGCAGGTGCCCAGCTGAACTAATAGAAATGAGACGAGAATCTAGAGGTTCTTGCGTGTTTGTGTGCTCACTCACCGAGCATGTGTCCCAGAAAGGCGGGTCTGGAGCTAGGCGGGAGGTGCACACACATGTAATACACAGGTGCTCCGGAGAGCGCAACAGTGATTCCCACTAGAGAGTTAACGGTGTCACTGAAGAGCGGTACAACCACCAGAAACACGCTGCACAGACAGTACACTATAGGGAAGAACAGACTCAGCTACATGGAAACAAAAACACACAGAGTCAATTAAGCACATCGTTTATGACCAGGGCAATAAAGAAATAAACATGTCAACAGTGTAGCAAGAATTAAATATATGACAAGCAAGTATTTTAAGGCATCATAAATGTGCTCCTGATGCATGGATGGACCACCCACACCCCGTTAGCTGAACTACACTGTAAAAAAATATTGTTGGTTTAACTTAAAAAAGTAAGTAACCTGGTTGACTTAAAATTTTAAGTTGATTGAACTGGAAAAAGTGAGTTAATACAATGAAGGAGATTAATTGTATCATCAGAAACTCAAGTTATCTCAACTAAATGAATTAAGTTGATTTGACAAAAGAAAATATGTTGTGATAACAAATCTTGAAAATATTTTTTAAAAGTGTATGTTGCCATCTGATGTATATGGCACTAAAAACTGGAAACGCTTTCGAAGGCAAAAGTCTAAATCTGACTGGCTAACTTATCAGGGTTCCTGCACACTTTTTAAAGTAAAATTTAAGGCTTTTTAAGACCTTTTTTCTAAGACCTGAAGAAATCAAAATTAGGGTGTGCAATATTGACAAAAATATATATCTCGATGTGTTCAACGTTTTGTTGGTAACAAGCATATTTGAACAAGCAAATCCACAAAGATAGAATAGGCTAATAAAAACAATACGTACGCAAATAAGATATTTTTCATTTGGAAAACATTGAGATATCACTAAATCGAAGTGTCATCTAAAATTTAAGACCTTTCATAAGTAAAAATAAGACTTTTATGGCCTAATATTTAAAAAATCTAATTTAAGACTTTTTAAGGCTTTTTAAGTCTTTCGGGAGTCTTTTTGTGATGAACTTTAACGGCCTGACAGGAAACAAAGCTGTTTTAAAGTTCTGATATTGCAGAAATTAATTAATTATTTTTTTTTAATCATTATAAGCCATGAACCGAATCAGCCAGCTACAAGGTGAATTAAACATTACAAAATTTGATTTGAAGCAAAAAAAAAAGTCACACATTTACAAGACAGCACTAAGCGGCTTAAGATCTACAATCTCATGAGGCATTGTGAATAACTGAAATAAAAATGACAAATAAGAAAAAAAAAAAAAAAAAAATCACAGATTAAGAACTTAATTTGATTGATTTAATGATGTTGAATATACATGTTTGTTTAGATTCTCTGATTGGTGGAGATTTCATGGAATCATGGATAATGTAGTTTTTCACCAGGAATTCCACTAATAAACAGATATGGAAAGAATAAGTAGGAATAATTCTGGCTGATGGCTTTAACAAAAGCATATACCGCTGATTAAACACGAAGCTCAGAGTAGGTCTGTCTTTAAAGTTTGTTAAAGTTGGAATGAAACGAATATTGAAATGGTCTTTTTTCTCCCTATTGTGATACAGCTACAGTGAAACTGATTCTTAAACACGAAAAAAAAATGTAGGAAGGGACTTGATTTTGTTAATCAGACATTGATTGATCTTTGATCATTGTGGTTTACTTTTGATGCAATCTCAGTCAAGATCTCTAATGGCTCGTTTCCACTGAGTAGTATGGTACAGTTCGGTTCGTTTCGCAATTATTTGCGTTTCCACTGTCAAAAGTTGTGAATGGTACCAAAAAGCTGAACCGTACCGTACCCCTTTTTTTGGGTACCCTTCCGTTGGGGTACCTAGCACAGTGAAAGGGTACTAAAAGGTGGAGCTAGACTCACTGCAGAGCGCTGATTGGTGGACAGAGTATCGTCACTCGCGCGTGCTATACAAGGGCATTGAGGCCTACAGTTGAAATATAATACTACTGTTATTTTGTCACGAAATGTAGTTAAGAGTTTTTCAGGCGAGAAAGTAGTTTTTTAAAGTTCAAATCTGTGGTTTATTTATAGATTTATGATAATTTGACTGAAATCCATTCCAAGCATCACCGGATGCTCGCGCTCGTGTCTCCCGCCTGGAACAGCCTTTCCTCGGCTAGTCTGATGTTTGCCGCTGATAATTCGTCTTGTATAAACGCAACAGGTGATCTTTGGTCTCGTGAATCTATAATTCGTTCCCTAGCCAATAGTTTTGGCAAAAGGCTACGTGAAGTTTCATATCTTTGAGCGCTGAATTTGTATATTTGAGTGACTGAATTGTTTCTTTATGTTATTAAAGCTTTACTATAAATTTTTTGTACCTTTTACTTATACTTTTATAATGGCTATTATTGCTAAAACTGAAATTCAACAAAAAGAGATAGTTTTGTCTTTTTTATTTTATTACAAGATCATCTGTAATGTTGTTTATTGCAACATTTGTACCAATGTGATATGCAATACATTACATATTGCCTGGAATATGTTTAATATTTTTAAATTTAATCGAAAAGAGGCAGGGTTGTTTTATATAGTTTTGTTATAAATATAACGTTACATACATGCAGTAAATATAATCAACAGGCTATGCATTGCCTGAACAACATTTGTGTGCTTTATAATGTTTAAAAAAGAAGCAGAGTGGTGTTTTATAACATATTTCGTTGTATTGTTGCCTAAAATGAACATACAGAGATAACCGGAGTCGCAGAGCCCGAGCGAACAGAGTGAGTGGAACGCGCTGTTCCATTAACAGAATTACTGGACTCGCGTCCTCGGGATCATTCTCCTGAGTCGGACTTTGCGTTGGCTACTTGGTATTGAGAAACTCCAAATGCCAGCGCTTGTTTCTAGTGACAAACATGCCGAGAAGCAAGAACAAGATCTGCTGTCTGTCATCCATTGTTGTTTACTATGTCGCTTTCTTTGCGCAAAAATGACGTCGATCGCTTCTTTCCAGCAAACACCACGCCTATCAAGTAAGGGTACTGTTGGGGGTGGGAACGCAAGCCGGATCATGGTGTACCGACCCGACCTGTATTGTACTGTACCGTACCGTTCCGTTCCGTACCTCTCAGTGGAAACGAGCCATAAGTGACAGTTTGTCCCGGGCCTCGCGCCAAAGAACACTTCAGAGATGTTGTTGCAAGTGGGTGGGGAAGTTTTTTGATTAAAGATTATGAGGGCATAGAAGTATTTTATACTTCACCTCCGTAACCTGACTATTGCACTCTATTGAAATCAATTGAGTAAAGGCTCTCCCTTACAGGTAGAGCACATGGTAATTGAGTACATGGTGTTACTGCAGGGAAGGGAAGCTAGGTACAGTAGGGCACTAGGTTTTGGAACAGAGCTGTTGACTTACCTTAACAGGTCGGGGCAGGTCAGGTGCTTTAATACGCAGGTAGATTTGACTGCCTATGGAAAGGCCGATGAACAGCCAGTAATTAAAACTGAAGTAATTAATAAGCTGGAACACGTCTTTCACACAGAGGTATATGAGTGACATGCCACCCTAATAGAGGGAGGGAGAAAAGCAGGTTAAATAAAAAAAAAAAGTCCTGTTTTTTTGTAGAATGCAGACATTCTGGAAATACAGGCACAGGCATGTCTGAGCCTGACAGCTTACATTAAACAGGAGGGCTGGAATTGGTGTGTAGCGCTTGACATGAATCATGCAGAGGACATTGGGTAAATGACCCTCACGTGAGCCAACAAAGAATAACCTAGAAGAAAAAAAAGAATTTGGCAAAGAAACTGAATTCCTGGCACTAGGCATCGACTCGAACGACAAGACTATTAGAAGAAAACTTTTACCTGGAGGCAGCAATGATAGAGGAGTTTAAGCCTCCATAACAGGAGATGGCCACAGATATAGGGATGATCCAGCTAGCATATCCCAGCACATAGTCAGCAAACGTCTGTATTAGATATAAAAGCAAGTGTTTATTAATAATAAATGTAATAAAGTAGTAATAAATGGATGACATTCTATACTAGTGTCTAAGTAAATAAGACTATCAATAAAACAAAATTGGCAGGTCTAAATCCTAGAGAATTAAGGAATTGCAACATTATAATGTAAAGAATGAAAAATGGATATTCATTTTGAGATTTGCTAGGTTTTTAAAGATTAACTTGGAGCGGTAGATGATGGCAGAGGTGATCTAAATGTAAAATGAGCATGAACAATTGAAAATACAATATCTATTACTTAAATGCTATAGATGTTTGTAGAGATATTGTACATCCCTAAAAAATATCTCATCAAACACTTTTCTGGTCACTGATATTCCTGCCTAGGGCAACACAATTTGGCAAATCGTCCGATTCAATGACTAAAATAAAAAAAAAATATATATATATAAATTATTGTTGTTTTGTATTATGATTACCAAAATAAGTTAATTACTATTGCAACATTTCACTATAAAAATAAAAATGTAATAATTATATTCATATAATAACATTTTTTTTATTTAATAATAATATAATTTAATTTCATAACAATAATAATTTTTCAATTTTAATTTACAGTACAACTGTAAAATTGCAATACTATAATATTCTTATCTTAAAAGGTGCAATAGGCGAACTTGGAAATGCTAACTTTAACCTGCTAGCATTGAAAGCATATGATCCCACCCTGCCAATCGGTGTCCAGGGCCACAAACACATGAACGTACACAGACCAAACGTTATTGGATTGCATCATGTCATTCACCGATGAGAAAACAGAAACAGAAGCGCTTACTTGGATTCATTTGTAAATTGAGCATCGCTCATGCCCATAAAAAAAATACAGCACGCTTAGAGGAACGTCGCCCTACGTAACAGAGTAAATGTAGCCTACTTTGTTACTATAGATGGTTACTACCATAGACCGTAAAGGTTACTACCCACCTCTATTAACGGTCACGACAATGCTCTTCTTCTGTTGTTTGTCGTAGATCGCGCTGTAGGGGGTTTCATTCATGTAAGAGACACCTTGTGTCCCCGACAGGGAAATACACTGCTGTGCAATCTGTGACAGTAGGTACGCTGTCAATTATATCACATTGGAATTGCGCGAAAATACAACAATATTCTGAAAAAAAACAATTTTACGGTCAAATTTGCAGTTCGACTATTCGAAGATCGCGACTCATCCCTAGCAAACACGTTGACTGACAGGGAATATGGTCTCATTTTATTCGGACAAACATTTTATGGTCCTACGCCTTCCACAGATGATATATATTAATAAAAATACATTTAGACCGCTTAACAGCGATTTCTATCAGGATGAGGAGGAGACTTTCAACCAGCATAACAAAAATATTTCTATAGCGAATCACCTATTGCACCTTTCAATTTTCATTTTCAAATGTTAAACCATCGTGCTTTTGCCTCTCTGAAAACACCAGATTGTGAGCTGCTCGCATGTAAACAAACACAGCACTGTGCTTCACTTTGAAATGTACGTGGGGCACAGATCATGGATATAGAAAACTTTCCATAGAGCTGCATACTAACATAATTACTGGCAGCAGAGCATCTGTGGCTGTGGACTAATGTCATCGGGAATCTCCAGAGAGAGGACGCAAGCTGCTCTCCTTAACTAGATCAGTGTAACGGGAGATGAAAACATGATCAAATCTGGAGCAAATAAACTAAACAGACACTGTCAATTAACTTGCATGTGACATCCAGGATCATGTGGGTTAAAAACGAGTTTTGCTGCAGTAGCTTGAGATATTAAGATGTGATAACAGACCAAGTAGCTTTATATATATATATATATATATATATATCAAGTTCAGCTCCAAGAGAGTTTTACTCACCACAGCCACAGCTTCACTATTAAGCAATGTATTCATGTCCAGCACTGCATAATAGGCGATATTAGTCAGGATGTAGATTACTGTGACAATGGGCATGGAGATCGCTATTGACAATGGCAGGTTTCTGTAGCAGAGAAAATGAAACTGAGTTCTTACATATTTGAACTTCCTACTAGATTTGCAACAAAACTGCTGGACATTCATTCAAGCGGAAGTGTATAGTTTCTGTGCCATAAGGGATGGCAAAAATAATGACAGGTTTTCCAAACACACAATCCATCTTTCTTTTAGTCAGTAAAACAGAAAATCTTGCCCCAAACTCATGCTATTGGTTGAGCCAGGTTTGCTGTATATATGAGAAATTATAATTGAGTCTTATTAACTCACAATGAATGGAACATAAAATTGTAGGAGACTATCTTTAGTTTATTTTAAGTGAAATGTCATTAATATTCATACCTCTCTGGGTTTTTAATCTCCTCTGTGATGAAGTTCAGGGTGTCCCAGCCAGAGTAAGAGTACAGTGCGGCGTACAGAGCCAGAGCCATGTTTCCTGGATCCAGTTTAGAGTTTTCAAAGGAATCCCTAAAGTTACTAGTTTTTCCTGTGGTAGAGTATATTTTAAATATATATGTAAATATAGTAAAATACCCAAAACAAACAGTAATGACTCACAAAAATACACATGTGTTCTACTTCCTGTGATGGCAAAGCTGAATTTTCAGAAGCCACTACCCAGTCTTCAGCCACATGATCCTATAATATTTTGGTTCTCAAGAAATATCTCTTCTTCTTATACATGTTGAAAACAGTATATATGGTATAGTACATGCAGCGTATATATTAAGCTACATGGGTGTCAGTATGATCACACCTTGGGCCAGAACAACCATTCCAGCGATGATAATGACTATGAGAGCCAGAACTTTAGCCACAGTAGAGATGACCTGAAGAATGGCCCCCCACTTCACCTTCATGGAGTTCACAATGGTCAGAAGACCTGCAGAGGAAAGAGAGATAGGCATGTCTATCTAAATGTCTAACAATTTAAACAGTACAATTGCTGGTTGCAACTGTTTTTGAACTGCCCTTTGCGACAGGTATTTCTCGGTTTCATTTGGTTTTGATCAACAAAAGTTCCCATTTAAAGGGATGGTTAAGCCAAAATTAAAAACTAACTGTTTAAGTATTTAGGTTCACTGACAGGTTTGTCCAGGGTGCTGTGTTCGAGCTTATTCAGGACAAAGTAAACCATCATCGAACCCAGCGGTTTAACTGACTGGTAATTCAAGAACGCCCATTCATTAGATACGGCAGTAGACACTAGGAACTTCTGGTATCTATTTTCACCAACAAAGTCCTACAGTAATTCACTCATTGACAACCGTCTCTGGCTCTGAAATGTTATTACTACAGAACTACAGATGCCGCTGTGATACCCAGGAGATATATTGAAGCATTTGTGTACTGTTTTAATCACATATGCCACCTCACTCTGATAAAATTGTACAGATCAAGCCCAAATAAAGTTCTTCTATTTGTTACAACAATCGAAAATAAACCCTGTAGAACAGAATTACATTGTTATGTAAGCCTGTAGCTTTGTGGTTTAGTTTGTCAAGTACTTAAGTGTGTGGACTTTGCTGCAGTAAGTAACAAAACATGTCACAGCAGGTGACAAATACACAAGAATTCCCTTGAACTCAAACACACCGCACATGGTCTCAATCTGGGATCACCAATGGAACTATTGGCAGGGTTATGGACTGCAGTCCAAAGGGAAAGCATTTGTGTGGTATGAATAAAATGGCAAGCAACATTGACACGAATGGAGAGCAGCCTGGCAGACACAGTGGCAGACAACAGCTGAACTAACAGAAAACATGTTTCAAGATTTGCAGAGACATTACTCACTCCGTTTTGGCAAACGTACAAGTTTATGCAAAAAAGAAGGAGCATATACTTTAGCCAAATGAAAATTATGACATCATTCGAATTTCATTCAATCACCCTCATGTTGATGCAATGGAGACTCACCTGTTGGATTGTGTAATTTTAACTAGTTAATATTAAAAATCACACAATTCAACAGTCCACAAAAGTACATTTGCACTTTCTGATAAAGGAACAAGGAGGATTCCTGAGTTAACTCTCTGGAAGTGACATTCACATTGTTTTCGTTCAATTTCTTTTTTCAATTCACATTTTTTTTGTGCAATGTTTTAGTACGAATAAAAAAAAAAATCAAAAGGAAAAGAAAGAATAAAAATACTCCATAAAAATGAATTACAGCAGATATTAAAGGGGTTGAAAGACATACTACTACTTTAGTACACTGTAAAAAAATATTTTGAAGATTTGTTATTACAACATATTTTCTTTTGTCAAATCAACTTTATAATAATTTATTTAGTTGAGATAACTTATTATTTGGAGTTTCTGATGGTTAAATGAATCTACTTCATTGTATTAACTCACTTTTTCCAGTTCAATCAACTTAAAATTTTAAGGGAACCCAGGTTACTTTAAGTTAAACCAACAATATTTTTTACAGTGTAGTAATCACAACATTTTTTCTTTTGTCAAATCAACTTAAATAATTTATTTAGTTCAGATAACATATAATTTTGAGTTTCTGATGGTTAAATTAATCTCCTTCATTGTATTAACTCACTTTTTCCTGTTCAATGAACTTAAAACTCTAAGGCAACCAGGTTACTTACTTTTTTAAGTTAAACCATCAATATTTTTTTACATTGTGTATACATTTATATTTTAAACTAGCTTTTCTTTTTATATTTTCAGTTTTCCTTTTAATTTTAGTAATTTTGTTATGTGCCTTTGTATTTTTTTATATTAAACATTTCAAATTAGCTTAAATTTACTTTCATTTGCATTTTAGTTTTGGAAATTGTTTAGTATTTAAACTTATTTTATTTCAGTTAGCTGCCAAGGCATTATTTCAGTTTTAGCTTTAACTAAAAATATTAACAGATTCAGAGATGTGTACATAATGAAGCCAGTATATTCCAATATATGCATTTTATATATTGCATGAAAATAAATAAAAGAACTAGGCAGCCATACAAACTAAAAGAACTACCTAAATAAAAGTATGCAGGTCATTACTATGCTAGCTAGACATGTTGACAGGAAGCACTCTTTTCAGAGTAATCTCACACACTGAGCTGTGTCAACAGTAAACATTAGTGAATCTCAGGGAAAGCCTTTATTGTGCCACTATGTACACTGTTTAAAGTGCTGTTACATTTGTTTTTATCAAAGCAATCTCTCCGTGCATGCATGAGCAGAGGAGCACTTACCTATAATGAGAGCTGCAATGAGCCGTACTGCATCATATGGAGGCGAGCAGGTGGGGAAGAATGGTTTCACTAAATAATTAGCAAAAGTAAGAGCAATGACCGCCTGGCAGGCCGGTTCCACGATCATCAGCGAGGTCCACAGGCGGATAAAGGCCACGAAGCCCCCAAAGGTCTCCAGGATGTAGGCATAACTGGCTCCTGACTTGCGAATGGTGGTGCCCAGCTCGGCGTAGCACAGGGCACCAAAAATAGAGAAGATACCTCCAATAACCCAAATCACCAGTGATAGACCGTAAGACCCTGTTTTCTCAAGAACACCAACTGGGGAAATGAAGATGCCAGAGCCAATCATGTTCCCCACGATGAGGCAAACGCCATGCAGTAACGAGATCTCTTGCTTCAGACGCATGGAGGTGGTGGAGCTGGAATCCCCCATAATGAACTCAATTCAGAAGGGAAGACTAAACTCAAGAGGCAAGGGTACTACAAAACCAAGGAATGTGATGTTGGACCACACAAGGGTCTGATCACCTCAAAGCCTGGAGGATCAGCCGAGTCTCATCGCACTTTTCTTTCTGCATCAAATCTAGAAGGTGATAAATGAAATCAAGCTCAGTTAATGGCTAAATACAAACACGGTTGACAACACAAATACATTTGACTCATTCAAAATACTAGCTTAATCTCAACACCACACAATCTTGGAGAACAAGCTCTTTAATTGAGCCGCAGTAGTTTCACCCACACCTGCTGCCCAAGACGTCATGAACCGACTGCAGTGGTATCAGAAGGGAACCAGAGAGAAAAGCCGAGAAAGAAAAGTGAGAGTGAAAACCAGGCAACGCTCGGGTGGGTGCGGCCATCGACAACAACGTGCAGAGCTAACTGTTTTGAAGAGATAAATCAACATGAGATAATGTCTTTCATTTGACACTAAAACTATATGGGAATATAATCATTTGAAAAGTACGTCGTTATGCATCAACTATAAAAGAATTCAAATGTAAAAGTCACATATTAATCCGATTTAATTTCGGATTTTATTCACATTGAAACATTGATCAGCAGACATTACAGAAGCTCAACAGAACCTTCTCAATGTTTAATTAAGCTTCTGTTTATCAACAGAACCTTCTCAATGTTTAATTAAGCTTCTGTTTATCATTACATATCAATGTGTGAGGTTGAAGAATATTTATGTGAATGAAATCCTAAATTCAATCTGTTCATCATATAAATCGATCACGTCTCTTCAGAAAATGTGGACTAAACCACTTAATTCAATTCATATCGATTAGTTTTACGATCTCTTTGTGGACTTTTTAAAGCGTCAAAGTGTCAGTTGCCAATGGAGTTCTCAATTTCATCAAAAAGAAAAAAATCTTCATTTGTCTTCCGAAGATGAACACGTTTTACGGGTTGAACGACCTGGGGGTGAGTAATTGATGACTATTTTCATTTTTGGGTGAACTATCCCTTTAAATTTACTAGACGGGCTGCTCACTCCAGAGCCATGGGTGGAGAGTGAAGTCCAGCTCCCCCACTCTGGATGTATTATGGGCATAATGGGTGAAGCTAGTAGAAGAGTCTTACCCAAGCCAAAACTATGCCATGCAGTAACGAGATCTCTTGCTTCAGACGCATGGAGGTGGTGGAGCTGGATCCCCCATAATGAACTCAATTCAGAAGGGAAGACTAAACTTTCAACCATTAGATCCACAGAGGTGGAGCTGGACTAGTACAAACGTGGACGAGTACATAATGACAGGAGGAGCTTGATGTCATTTGGCTCTGCATGCACCACTTGATTTATTATACTAACGTTAAATGACAAACAGGAACAAAATGTACAAGCCACGTCTGTTCGGAATACAGGAATATTACAACAGCTTTGAAGCATGTAACTTTACACTTCCTTTTCTAGACAATGAAACAATCAAAAAGTGATAAAGAACAAGAAGGTGATGTATGGTCGCGCTTACATACACTCGGACGATCTACTAACGTCGTGTTGGTTGTAAAACCAAAAAAAAAAAAAACTCCTCAGAGATAACGTTAACGTTACCTCAATTATGCATTTAATGTTTTTTAAGCTTCCGGGGATTCAGCGAAGCTGCAACATTCTGACGTGCCTGGGTTTAAATGGTCGATTCGCGCCAACAAAAACGTCTTCCTTCACTTTATAACAACATAAAAAACGGACAGAATTAAATAACCACCTTTATCTTCTATCATTTTATGAACGCTTCAACCTATATCTATATGGTCGGTAACGTTAAACGTATCTTTATCAATCCGCCATCTACCTTACATTGTTTCTTTCCAGGACACGTTAGAGGAAGTTAACAAACCGTTGTCCAGGTTTAGTCTTACAATTTTAAACGTATCTTTATCAATCCGCCATCTACCTTACATTGTTTCTTTCCAGGACACGTTAGAGGAAGTTAACAAACCGTTGTCCAGGTTTAGTCTTACAATTTTTTTTTGATTACCTACCAATCTCACGATTTGCCGTCAAAATACATAATTTCAATGTTACTTGGTCGCTGAGGTAATAATACGTTTTCCCCCATAGGATAAACGACAAAGAAAACTCTGACTCCCATCCACATCTGTTAGCTAAAGGTCAGTGTAGTAGCTGTCACACACGGACAGACGGCTCTGCTACAGCAGCTGGTGCGGTGGAGTGTGAATATAAAGTTTAACTGATCAGACCTCACCTGTTCTCACTGAAGAACGCGTGGGCCATGTGCGTGGATGCCTGCCATAGGGATGCCTACGCGGACGTGTCGTTGAGCTGTGGTGAGAGAAGAGGAGGAGACTCATGACATTAGGCCAGGCCCTTCTTCTCCGTCTCCTCCTTCCCACTGTTGACTGCATTATCCTCCTGGGGGTCCCTGGAATAGACTTTTATTTTCTGTAGACTGACAAGACTGTAGTGGACATTATATTTTAGCAAATTTCTTGTCACACTCAGTCTGGATGTCCTGAAAAAGCACATTCAGGCTTTTTCGGAGATAAATGTTTGGAGGTTTCACCATAAAAACAACTTCTCCTTGGCCTTTAACGATGACTGACATTAGCTTAATGGTCGAATTTAGTACTCTTATGGAAATATTTTGTAATTCTCATTTAAATCTGTCTAATTTTCAAATCATTTGTCAACATCTTAGGAAAAGTTATGGGGTTTCTTATCCAAATAAGGCTTTCTGATACAAAACACTGAAAACAGAGCATTGATTTCATTCATGTCCACTGTGAGGACAGCAATTATTATTAAACTTTTATTTTTTATTATTAAAACAATATAAATACTGAGGTAAAAACAATATAAATACTGTTCATTTTCTCACACAAACCACTTGTTTCGTGTCTTAGGCCATCAATGTTACATTTACGAGTCATTAAATCATGTTTAATTTGGACTTCTCTGTGCATGCTCTTTGAGGTGGTGGTGACCATAGACCTGCACTATATGACTGACAGACAAGAACGGTTTGACCTTAAAAAAATATCAAAATTGAAAATACTGCAGAAATAAAGACACCTACATCTTGGATGCCCTTGAGGTAAGCTTAAACATACCAAAAATTAATTTCAAAGTGAACTATCACTTAGTTTATTTCATAATCAGGCATAATTATTATTATAATAATTATAATAATTATAATAATCATAATTATTTCAATGTAAATTATTATTCAGCTCTGGCAGTAGCCTAATAAAGCACAGCCGTGTGACATTTCTCCTGAAGGCAACTGGTTTTAAAAGAGATTTGTGTTGGATTTATTTTTTCAGAGCTGTCACGTCTTTCACTGCTTATTGGTTTTATGAGTACAGTGCATTCCTGACCATTGCTGAAACATAATAGATCCTCAGTTTGACCCAGTTCTCTAGTTAATGCATAACTGAATTTTAATTAAACTCTTATATTTACAACAATACTCTCACTGCTCTTAAAATCAATTTTCCTTCTGACCATATCTGAAAACTATGCAGTCTTTAAACAGAAGTATCATTCAAGCATAACTAAAACTCATTTTAAATTCATCAAGGACATATGCATTATTTTGATTAATGAATGACTTCAGATAAACGGTTCATTGCCTATGTGCTTTTAGGTAATTCAACATAGCCAGCAGCAGCTTTAAGATTAGTACTACACTGATAAATCAATTTCCCCTCTTAACAGACAGCTTTGTCTTGTCTTAAGAGATTTCTCAAGTTTAAATGTGTGGCCATAAACAGCTCGTTTCCTTAATTAAGGATCTATTGCCATCTAGTGGTTGAAAATAATAATGCAGTGCGTCTTGATCGTGAATGTTTAGGCGTGACCCTGAGATGACATGTCTGATAGAGATAGTAGCCTAGCCTGCATGGCTATCGGATCCATAAAGAATTTAGGCTTCAGTTTAGAAGCAATGAAAAATAACAATGAAAACATGAAGATATAAATATTGTTATTTAAATCAAGATACTGCAGGATTGCTCTGAAATGCCAATTTGACCAATGGATTATTTAATCATTGTACACTGTGAGATACAGGGGTCTAGCCTAATGCAACCCTTGCAGTCCTTCATTTTATGCTGTCCATTTCTAAACCGATTTGTTCAGACAGCAGAACTTTTATTATTTATTGTGCAGACTTCGCTTCCTTCATAATTGATGCTTGCAATGTGCATTTCTAATGGGAGCTGAACTGGATGTACATGTTGATGTAGTGATACATCATCATGGTTGAATGTCTACACGAGCATATTTATCATTCTTAAAGAAGTGTTTTATAATTTTGTATTTCTTCAATGCACATTTGTATAACACCAAAACTTACTACTCTGAATAGGCCCATACTTTCAATACATTTCGTGCTCTTGTCATTTATGTTGTCATATATGTCCCGTCTGGAACCAGAAGTTACTACGCTATCTCACGACCAATTCGTACGAAGTCGACGCATGATTAAAAAGTGTCTAATTCGTACGACCTCACTCGATTTGTCTAAACCCACGTGATGGTTAGGTTTAGGGGCGGGGTAGGTCATTTGTACGAATTCATACGAATTGGCCAATTCGTAAAATATGTACGCTACGATTTAGCAAAATCGTACTAATTCGTACTAGTGAGGTCGAACGAATTAGACACTTTTTAATCATGCGTCGAATTCGTACGATTTGGTCGTGAGATCGGGTTAGAAAGTACATATATTTTGTACAGATATGTTTGCAATTTTGTAACAGAATTGTATGCTATGATTGTCATCTTTGTTTTGTTTGTAAGCATAATAATAATAAAAAAGTAATACATACACACAATTAATTGATTTATTCAATCTGATAAATAGATTTACAAAATACATTGATTAAATATTTCTAAACATATGTGGATGTTCCAAAGTCACTATAATAATTTAAAGAGGAAAATTAAATATTTTTAAATAACTAGGCTAAATAATATTGACACATATTAACAAGGAACATCACATCACCCATTTAATAGTGCTGGGAGGGGCACTGTGTGTCCCAGTGCTGCATGCTTTGCCGATGTACTGCCATTATATTAATGTAAAATGTAGCTATTCTAAAATACAAGTGCGTAGCATAGGCCTATCGACTCATGAATAGGCCTATGTTAATGTGACCGTTATGAGACAGAGCCCCCATCAATCAGTGATGGCAGAAGACAAGCATTACAATCCATACGAGATTAGGCCTATCAGTGCTAGTTTACTGTATGAAATGCCATAAATGCAAGTTACCAACGTCTTTCATAGTAGGCTTAGGCTATATGATATAAAATGAATAAATCATTGGGCGCTGTGCATGAACGGTCTGCACCATTTCTGAGAAAGGGGGGAGACTCAATTAGTCACCTTGTAAGCTCCTCACCGTTGACATCCTCCGGTACATTAGAGCGAGCGCGCGACAGTCTTTCACTTAGAGCTGCGCGTGAAGGGACAACAGCAGCCAATCTGATTGAACACACGCACGCTCATAATTCCCGAAGCTGCTCTCGCGCACTCTTTCCCTCAGAGCGCAGTTCTGCTGACTCAGTGCCTTATCGAAGCGAACCAGTTCCTCGCCACCGAAACAGAGCTGAGACGCACCAGTCACCGCAACAACCCCAGCCATGGCCAAAACTGCTATCGGTAAGACAAACCATCCTTCATTTTGTTCGCCGGTTCATGTCTCTTTGATGCAGGATGCTGAGAGATGCTGTCGCGCGCACAAAAGATCCCGATGCAGGAGAAACAAAAGTCCTCTAGCTAAAAACAAAAACCGATTTCAATTACTGTCTGAGTTATTTCTTAGATAGATAAATCTGCTTTTTCTTAACACACCATGCTGTTTTATTTTCAAATATGGCTGTGCGTTTTGGGTGCACCCAGGCTGCCTACTCACCTTTACAGAGAGAGAGAAAAAATATACATTATAAATGAGGAAAAGCATTAAATTGTGTTGATAATAGAGCACACTTCTTTTAAAATGTACTGCAACATGTTTTAAAAGACATAAACGGATTTTCTTATGGTGACACTGCACCTGCCGGCTCATATCTCCAGCATAATGCAGAAGGACCCCACCCAAGATCCAGCTCTGTGTTTTAGCCTTGAGAAAATCCAATAAAACCTGACAATGCCTAACTCGGAACAGTTCAGCGCTTTGGACATCCTCTATACGATATTTATATCCTTTTTCATTACATTAGCTAGGTGTGGATGGAATATTTATTGCCAAACAAAGACGTAATAGTGAAATACGACATGGTAGTTACTGAATTGCAAACTGAATAGCTTATTGCAAACTGTTGTTTTTATCCACGAAGGGATGTTTATTATGCAGTATACACTGAATTCCTTAATTTTTTGGAAATGATCCGAAATAATAAATTAATTAGTTTAATTTCAGTGTTTTGCACTGATTTGGGGACTCCAAAAAACTAAATAATTTTATATGACCTTATTTATAATTGGTGAATAAGAATCTGTTCTCACACCTTTAATATACAGTCTGCCAGCACGTCATTATTTAACATTATTTCATTATTAAAAAAAAAACTTCTTGATGATTAAACAAGTTTTTAATGCGTAATTGTGGATTTGTATGTGCATCCTTTCGTTCACACCATTACTAGCGGCATATGCGAGGCAGATTGCAGTATCAGATGATTGATGTTTTAAATGGAAGTGTGTCAGGGCTGAAGTCGTCTCGCCGGCAAGCATGTCTCAGTGCTGTTGTGATTCTGGATTATGTTGTAGGCGGCCAAACTGGGGCATACCATAGACAAGGTGTGAGTCGGCTTTATCGCATCGTTTTGAGGCGCCTGCAGGGCAGGGCACTGTTGGACTGAGGGTGAACGTCTCTGTTCTAGCTGTCATGTCACTTGAAATGCTGGAGTGACATCTGTTTTGTGGAATATTTTACACTTAATCCTATACCATGCAATGCAATTACATGGGGTATTGTCTTAAGGATATTTCATTTCACAGAACACACAATAAATGCCCTGACAAATGCCTGTGGGATTCCTTTCGCTAATGAGAAAGCACATGTCAATCAATATAATCAATACACTTGAAATATTTATAGGGCTTAAAAGAGCCTGCAGAAAGACCTTGGTGCATTTGTCTGCACCTACAAAATAAGAAAATTAGCTCTCTATTTTAAAAGCATGGCTTGTTTAATTATACTTTAAATTACGCATTTTAATTACAGTAACAATTGGATAATTGGCAACAATCGCATATCATTGATCAAAACTGAGCTTCCAGGTGCCTGTCTTTGTCTTATTTTAAAGATCTCCTCATGTTACCCCCACCATGCACGTTTATCATT